TCTCTGGGTCTCTCTTTAGTAAATTTATGTCTTATCTCTGTGTATCCTTGTTTTCCATGCTGAAAATTCTTAAACTGTTGAATTGCTACGTGTACAGAGGATGTACCTTTGATCATCCCRTCTCTCTATATCCTGACAGTTTTAATGTATCTCAGGTATATTTCAGGTGTGAGGAACTCACAGGTGTGCTTGTGCATTTCAGTTACCTTTAGCTTTAAAGAGGGTCATGGTATTCTCTGTTATATTCTCTGTTCTTTTGCTAATAATTTTTTTTCACAGCTAATTTTCTTAGAGCTATCTACCATAACTTCCTAAGAATCCAAAAATTTAGGAACTATTGTTACATACATAAAACCAGAATTGGTTTCCCCATACATAGCAGTTTGGATATGTCAATAATGAATTTCAATTTCTGTTTTATTATCCTGTAACTAAGTGTGGATTTGTTTCAGCAATTCCCAATTTCTTGGCCATTCTTTTTTGTTAGTCTGGATGATTTAATATTAACAAACATTTATCACTTTCCTGATTTTAACTCACCTCTTGCATATGACAATTATGAATTCCTGGGACACCTGACACCAGTCCCTCTGGCACTCTGATTTGAAAATTTTCCATTTATTCCTATCCTTCCTTCCTTCTTTTGATYGGTAATCTGTTTTCCCCAATGACACTTGGACTCTGTAGAGAAGCAACCAGGCCCTGTGGCTTATTTGACACTTCATGAGATTTACATTTGTTGTTGCTATATAATGTAACTTTCTCCATATGCAATTTTGCAGCTGACCTTTTTTGGTACACAGATGTGAATCTCAATCCTTTTGAGTTGAAGTAATCTTGAACTTGTTTCTTTTCAGRGTTCTAAGAAGAGTGGTCTATTAGGCTTTTCTTCATGGGCTGTGCCAGTGACGACATTGAATAAGCAAAGAGGCAGGATCACTGATCCTTTGAAACAAAAAAGGTTAAATACTTAAATATGTCCAGAATATGGGCCTGTAGGCAGTATTTTTTGTCTTTATTGTAAGACAAAATGAAGTCTAMAATGAAACCTAATTTGTTTAACTAAAGCTGGTTAGTCTAACCACGTATTCAGCAAAACTCCAGAAGCCAAGATGGATCTTTTTCTTTGAAAACTGAAACTATTACATATTTCCAGAATTCCAATGTCTTAAAACAGATTTGAAGGATAATGGTTTAAAATTAAGTCCTACAATAAAGAGASAAATCTGATACCACAAGCAGCAGAAGCAAAATTCCAAGCAGATTTGMTGTATCAATTTTTGTCCAGAGAGACAAGATTGGATCAATGGCATCCAGAATTTCAGTTGTAACTCTGGTTGTTATATTGTAGCAGGTAACATTGAGATCAGAACATAGCCACTGAAACACTGCTATCATATTTCACCCACAAGCCACMCTAATTCTAAGAGTCTTACTGCATTTCTTTTTCTTTCTTGATTTGCATGCCTTATGGACTTTAAATATACAAAGCAATGCCTTGGTTGGGAAATATCCCATAGGTGGAAATAACAATCTTTATATTAGCTAGCCACAATAAGCCAAGTTTCCCATAGGTGGAAGTAACAACCACTATGTTATCTAGCCACAATAAACCGGAAGCATGATGGCACAGGATCAATGCCTTTTCTCAGGCCTCTGTTCTTTTAGAACTAAATTTTACTTCTCTACCTTTGGCAGTCTGATGATAAGAAGATTAAGTTCACTTGTCCTCCTTCCACCTCTTTCTTCTGCTTACAACCATCCTCTCACTCAGTAAAAGCTCAGCTGCTTTTTTTGTGCAGAGCACGTGCACTTTAATCTGAAGACAAACTGTTTCTGTGTGAGGTGTACTRGTATAGCAAACAGACAAAATATAGACAAGGCTGTTTACCTATTTTGTCGAGTGAAAAAATCTTACCCTACACCAGTTTACACTTGCTTTCCACCCTGAAGGAAAGGCTASTATTTAATTTCTCTACATTTTGTACCATCATCTGGTTTTAAGCAGCATTGGGATTAGGATTATTTATGTATTGGAATTATTGGTCGTTGATACAAAATTGTACCAATTTATAACATTGCTACAGATAGAGATAGAGTGAATAAGGAAAAATAGGTGTAAAAACCAGTTAGAAAATGCTACTTGAATAGTTAATGTTCCCTTCCCCTCTGATAATCTGAAATTAGCATGTTCTAACCCCCTAAAATTTTAATCGTACAAGCTGCAGAAAATACCACCATCTTTAGTTCATACAAAGGGTAGGCCAGKGCCTTTGGGGTCACACTAAGCCATCTGGGCAAGTGACCCATGGCGTAAATTCCCCACTCGCAAGACCCCTGTGGTGGGGAAAACCTGCTGCACACAGCGCCCATTTGTGCAAAATGCTGTGCACCCCGCAGTTTGCTGGGTGCCCCACAAATCCCCGTGTACTCCTCCGTCCCGGAGCGTCTCTCCGGGAGATGGGCGAGGGCTCGGCGCTCAGCCCCGTCTYGCCTCCAGCCAGAGGTTTCCTCCGGCCGCGATGTCCCCCATGCGCCGGGCGCCCCGCCTCTGTTGTCGCCACATCTGCCCCGACTGCCCGGGGGCGCAAGGCGGCGGGAGCCTCCTGCTTACACCTCTCTGAGACTCCAGACAGGTCCCCTCACACCAAATCAAGTTTTCCCGCGATAAAATTTAGAAGGTCATCCAGGATCCTAAAGCTGACCGGAATCCTTTGAATAATTCCCAGGAGGATTACCTCTTCTACTGCTCCAGATTCTCCATTCCTCTAGCCTCCTTGCAGGTGTAAGGGGAAAACTTAGATTCCTTAAGATATTCTTTGGAATCCTACAGAGCAGTTACATCAAGAGAAGTGGAGTATATTTAAATACATACAGAGCTAATATACAACTAGCAGCAGTCATGATTTATTTGGCAGACTG